TGTTTAGTGCTATCATCACAAGCCAAGGTATTCACGCTGTGTGATCAAACCGCCTACTCTACACCATAGACCGGGGCAGCTATGCCACCGCCCAAAGATATTCTTCAGTACAATCAACTCTCCGACTGATGATGATGAACGGCAACCGACACGACATCATGTCGAGTGCTATCATCACAAGCCATGTTATCTACACAGTGTGATCAACCCGCCCACTCTACACCATAGACCGGGGCAGCTATGCCACCGCCCAAAGATATTCTTCAGTACAATCAACTCTCCGACTGATGATGATGAACGGCAACCGACACGACATCATGTCGAGTGCTATCATCACAAGCCATGTTATCTACACAGTGTGATCAAACCGCCCACTCTACGCCATAGACCGGGGCAGCTATGCCATCGCCCAAAGATATTCCTCAGTACAATGAATTTCCCAACTGATGATGATGAATGGCAATCGATACGGCATCTGCAGCAGCAAAAGCTAGAGCAACTATGCAACCGCTCCGAGATATGCTTTAGAACATTCAATTTCCCCAGGTGGGGCCGCTATGCCACTACCCCAAGATACGTCTTGGTACAATCGATTTCCCCAGGTGGGGCGGCTATGCCACTACCCCAAGATACGTCTTGGTACAATCGATTTCCCCAGGTGGGGCGGCTATGCCATTACCTCAAGATATGCCTTAATACAATCGATTTCCCCAGGAGGGGCAGCTATACCACCACGTCTTAGCACAATCAACTTCCCTGTTTTTCGACGATTCGCAGAACCAATTCCGCTCAAGGGGCAGATATGCCATACCTCACACATCCTATTTGGATTCACACGAATGACATACTGCCGCTTACTGTCCAAAAAACTGACGGAATGGCATGACAATAATCCGTATACAAGACATATGTAGTAGTAGTAGTATTAGGCCGAATAGACCACCAATGCTATTGCCACAATGATATTAACGCACTTTAGCGGAGCCGTAAAGCACCTAATACATCACATTGCCTACGCAGGTTCAATCCCGGCATATAACGTTTCAGACAGATGATGCTTCGAATCAAAATGAGTATAACGTTACGCCGAGGAACTTCGGAAGCTCAGTTTAAGGCTACCTAGTAACTGTCCAGAGCACCCCTCATCATCACGACTGACATATCACAACCAGTGATACTCGTAACGATTTTGTGACCACTACAAACGCGAGACTCCGTTGTCCTACGAAAGACAATACCTTCTATCCGCTGTGTCCTGCCTGATTGGCGATAAAACATACAATTATATACAAAGATGTGTTATGTAAACTACATTGTATAGAACCGAGCTCAATGCTACAGCCAGCTTCCTTAGTGCCAAACAGTTTATGGCGACAATGATGCTGTGCGATCATCAAAGAGCAACGACACATTCAATAGCGGCAGTGAAGCCTTGACCAAAAATACCAAGTGCAACGATCAAATGCGGAGGAATAACGATCCTACATAAACGGAAAAATTGAGCCCCGAAACCTCAGACAATCACGAGTTTCCTCAGTTCATGGCTCAGGCGTCCAAGGCTTAGCAGTAGTATTGCTTTCTCTCGAACCGACATCCATGTCGAAGTCGGGTTCTTGAGACGCGCGATCAACTCTGTATATATTATCCGCGAGTTGAAGATAACACTCGTAACTGAGGATAATTCAATACCGACCGTCGAGGACAAGCATATCTCTCATTACTCGACACGGAGTGGCGTTGTGTCATAGTGGTAATGACCAGCCACCTTATCATTGAATCCATGAGTATGTGAAGGACGGAGGTCGAGAGTCGCAGGAGGATTCGTCACGACTGGAAAAAAATAACTGTGCCGGGGATAGAACTCGGGTGGATGGCTTACAAACTGTGTAATTCGTGAACGGCGTATCAGCTTCTTTCATCCTCAGCCATTCAGAGTCAATGAATTTCTGACTCCTGATTGGCTTCACTGTAAAGTCATGCATCACATGAATCATCACTTTCCCTGATGAGGAAACCAATCTTGCACTTCCTCAACGCCCCATTTACCCTTCTTGACGAGTACCACACCCCCCAAGCCCAGAACATCACGAGGAAAGGCAGTCTCCAAGATTGACTTCATCGTTTCCACAATATCAGAACCAACCTCTGGATCCATCCGGGCAGCCGCGTGAACTCTCAACACCTTCCCAGGGGCACCCGAACACTTGAAGACGTTGCAAAGAGGCTGAACGAGAGACAGATACCATCAAAAATTACGAATTGAAAGCTGTCAATTGCTCACGAAAAACTGAAATTTAACGTGATTCATCGGTCTGAGATTCAAAGCGGTAGCTGCCAAAAATCGGAATTAGAATTTGGAAAATCAAGCACAATGGAGTTTCACCCGTTTTACGCGAAGTGGCGTAAAACTCAGTGAAAAACGCGATATTCGCGCCATACAGTCGTGAAATATGTCTTTCACTAGTGTTTTTCATACCACTAGGGTGAAACTTCAATGAACTGAAGACCACAACCTATTTGAGACCCTATATTCAAGGGGCAGAGGCGTAATCAGAAGATTACTGTAGCGTCGGCCGGCTCAAACCCCGGACTAACTGGTGGCAGCTCAACCCCTCCGCTCCTTGAAAATGGGCTCTCAAATAAATAGTGCGCACTCAATCTTAGCACGACTCAATATTGATGTGCTCACGAAACGTTTTAGGAGGCCACTAGATCTATGAGGACTACCCGAAACCGATCAAGTGGAAGAGTTCGAAAATCCCCAAAACGGTCATTCAGTCGAAGTTCCCGATGCTCACCCCTGAGAGGTAAGAATGGTAGTTCTTCTTCTCTGGCAATGAGTCCTCGCAAACAATGCCGCACGCTGTATGAGGATCCCCCTCATCTGCACAATTTATCGCCAGCTCTCCATTCTGATAGAAAAACCGTAAAGTGATGGATAGTAAACTCACGCATCAAAACGCAAATGCGAATTCCGAGCCATACAAATAGGAATCTCAACAGCAGCTTCGCCCGAGGAATATAATATTAATATCGATATTATTAAATATGTTATATATAATACATCACTATTCGGTATAATGTGTATTATTAACATGTACAATATAGAATATAATAAGATACATAAGATCTAATAAGTATTGTTGGACGCACAGCCAAAGCTGGTATTGAGATCAATAATAATAAATACTATCAACCTCAGAATCACAGTGCGGCCAAGGCAAACAATGTGATTATAACATCCGTTTATGTATATTTTTATGGTAATATTTATTATACGCCCTTCTGTGGGCGTATAATGAACATTACTATTATAAATATTATAATATAGGGTAATTAACCCCGCATTACCTGTCCCGTGACAGAGTAAGCGCAAGCGCCAGCTCCCAGAATGTGGAAGGCCTGTGGGGTGTGGTGACTAGGTAGGCTGTTCGATCGCTCTGTGGGACTACCAGCTACCGTAGACTCAGCACTCGAGGGAGGATACGCTGAAGAAATGAGTTGCACAGTAGAAGAGCGTTCATGGCAGTGCTGGAGGAATATATGTTTGCTTTCCTCAGCTGAGGTCCTCGCTAATTACGAAAGTTCACACACAGGAATTCAGAAAGGATTTCGCAGAAACCAATAAGAATTTCCTCGCAATTTTCACCAACACGAAGTTCATCATGTGAATATTTTCCTCATGCAGATCTACGAAAACGATTGCTATTGATACACACAGTCTTACTGCTTGCTATGAAGCATATTTATATTACATATCTATGAAATACTAATAATACTGTTATTGATTATAAACGACTTCGATAAAATACATCCATATTTATTAATAAATGATAAATATAATAACAGTAATTGCGTAATAATATGTATTAGATCGACAACCAAACGAGGCTAGGTTCCATGGTGAAGTAGTTCAACTCTAACAGTGTTGGGAGAAGGCTAGGTTCCATGGTGAAGTAGTTCAACTCTAACAGTGTTGGGAGAAGGCTAGGTTCCATGGTGACGTAGTTCAACTCTAACAGTGTTGGGAGAAGGCTAGGTTCCATGGTGAAGTAGTTCAACTCTAACAGTGTTGGGAGAAGGCTAGGTTCCATGGTGAAGTAGTTCAACTCTAACAGTGTTGGGAGAAGGCTAGGTTCCATGGTGAAGTAGTTCAACTCTAACAGTGTTGGGAGAAGGCTAGGTTCCATGGTGAAGTAGTTCAACTCTAACAGTGTTGGGAGAAGGCTAGGTTCCATGGTGAAGTAGTTCAACTCTAACAGTGTTGGGAGAATACATGTTCGCTTTCCTCAACTGAGCTCAGGAGTTTCCTTGCTAATTCGGGGACTTTACATACAAATTCGAGCAAAAAAGTACAGAGAATTTCCCAGAATTTCCTCAAAATCTCCATATTGTCGTCAACACATGTGGTTTACCATATGCATATCTTCTTACACACAGTGATTGGATAGTTCAACGCCTACCTTCCTCATCGCCGCCACCGGCATGTGTGTAATTGTCAACAATAGAGGCGATTTGGCGCATATCATATTCCTTAGTGATGTCAACCTTAGGGTAAAGAAGTGCACATCCACCACAGTCTACAACAGAGCCTTTCCCTGGGCCTGATCAAGTGGAAAAGTAGCGGAAAGATGGTATATCAATTACGATATATTATTAATAATTATTATTATATTGTCTCATAGGGAATAAATCTATTGTGTGTGTAAATATATGTACCATAATCTGATACCCAATATCAACGGAGTTTCACCCGTAATATGAAAAACACTAGTGGGAAAATTTTTTTCCACAGAGTATTACGCCACTTCACGTAAAATGGGTAAAGCTCTAGGCATTCAAAACCTACGATGGTATGACAACAACCTACTTCCGAGACCAGGCTTCGAGCAGAGGTAGGGGGCCTGGCGTAGATCAGGACAGTCCACGACGTCAACGTCGATCTGAAGGGAAAGATGAGAAATAAATCGAAATTCGACTAGATTAAAATATACCATATATTTAAATATGTCGTAGTACCCTCTTTTATATAGCAAATTAACGTAACCATATATATCCATTCATAATATTGATAATTATATATATCATATTTTATACCCCTTTATATTAAAAATGTAGTTACTCGTATTATTTATGTTATTGCTATCTATAATAATTATATATATGAATGTGGTAAGCTGTATAAACTGATAATTTCCGAAGTAATCTTCCTAAAACCACTTTATGGAGCTAAATTCATATACTTTCGAGAGAGAAAAATTTGGGCGAAAGAAGAGGGAAAATTGTGCAAGCGGGAAGCAAACCATATATGTTCACTTTCCTCAGCCGAGCCTTCAGGAGTTCTCTCGCTTAGCAAGGAAGTTAACATCCGAACTCGAGTTTAGTTCGAATTTCCACTAAGTCTTATTAACACACATGTAGTTAACCATACGCATAAATTCCCATACTGATTATGAGCATCACTTTTTTGAAAACCTTAGCAAGACCGTCCCGCAGGGCATCAGCAACGTCATCGATCGTTACAGGACTCTCCAACGGGTACACCTATGATGAGAATTCAACGTTATGGTTACCAACACGGAATTACTTCCACTGAGAGGTCCTTAGGCTGCTCCTTCTCGACCAAACCAATTGTTGATGCTAAAGACTCTTCTGTTGTACTCATTATCACTAGGTGAAGTTGTAAAGGGAATACTACAGGGGGAGGGGGGAAGTTGAACTTCTGCGAGAAAGTAGATTTACAGGTGTGCGAGCCATAACATGCTCATCAGCAGCGAACCACAGACTTTCCAACCACGGTTGAGGAAGAGACTGCGTGCTGTGACCTCTTGCTCAACAACTGTAGCGCTGAGGAAATGCAAGTGAGCAAGATGGTGGAGATGTCCAGACGCCTTCACTAAATTCACACTGCTGTCACTTTTCCCACCCATCGTTTTCAGTTGATGATGAAGCACCCGAGTTGGAGGTGGGGAAACGTTCCGGTGTAAGCTGGCGGGAGGAGGCGTAGCGTTGATCGTTATGAGCTCTATCACGGCATCAATTGTAGCCCCGCGTCGGATTGGTTTTTTTGGGAAAGGTGTGGTATGAGGTGTTGGTAGTAGTTGTTCTTATCTTCGTTGGTGGGCATGGTTAACTGAACCCAGAGATTTGGGTTTTTTTTTGGAAACAAAATTATACACGTTTGACATGGTGATTGTACGAGCCATAGGTGAAACGTTTATCAACTCTATCCAGTCAACAAAAAAAAGGGAGGGAGAGCGCCAGTCTGGAGGTACTGTTAGAGAGATTTGGGTTAAGATTCTCAATAGTATTGATTAGTGTCGACTGATTAACAGCCAACCGTTTCCTCGTTTCTTGGGCGTGCGATACACCAGATACCCGATCTTAACACACAGTTGTTCATTTCATGTCAACATCTACAGCTGTGGTAAACCAGCGTGATGGTATTGGTTGTAGCGGCTCAGAAGGAGGAGGACCATCTACGACTACCCCTGGTAACACAGTTGACTTGGAAACGGGACAGGGGGTTGATCACAGCACGCAAGCACAGACTGATGGTACCGCTGGGGCGCGATAGAAATTTGGTGACACATTCTGGACGGTGGAGTTTATTGCAGAAATACGTCTAGCATGAGAATATACACATGTGTTGGTAACAATATGAAAATTCTGAGAATTTTACGGAAATTTTCGTTGGTTTCTGTATACTCCTACCCGAATTGGTGTATAATTCTCCAGAATCGGTGAGGAAATTTGTGAGCTCAGCTGAGGAAAGCGAGCACATATATGTCAACTCTAAATTTGAACAGAAACGTTGTAAATGGTATTAGTATGAGCACAGCAACTGAATAGTATACGTAATCATCACCAATCAATGTTGTGGGAGTAATTCTCACGTGAGTGGTTGAAAACTCTTTTTCTCTTTCTCCGTCTTTGTAGAGCATCGGAGGCGGTCCAATCGACGCAGTGTACGGCGCAACCTGCAGCATCGGATTAACGACTATACTCGTTGTATCTTCCTGGTGTTCTGTGGTCTCCTGGCGCTCATTGTGATCATCTTAGCTGGTAGTGATGGAGGGGCGGTTGGGTGAGAAGAAATTGAGAGTAGATACCATCAGTGTGGGAAAATATGCACATGGTCAACCACATGTGTTGATGACAATATGGAAATTCTGAGGAAATTTTGGAAAATTCTCATTGATTCTTGTACATTTCTACACGTATTCGTATGTAAACTCCTGAGCTCAGCTGAGGAAAGCGAACATATATTCCAACACTAGTAAAAACTATTTTCCGAGTATTGGTAGTAATGTTCACTACAGTGAGCCGGGCTGGTCTATTGGAGTTTCTTGACCCTAGTGATATGGAAAACACTAGTGAAAAACATACTTCACGACTACTGCATATCATCGCGAATCGCGAGGTTTTCGCTGAATTTTACGCCACTTCACATAGAACGGGTGAAACTCCATTGTAGTATATTCTACACTGTGTGGTGGTGGTTGATTCTGGGATGCGGCTGCTGAAGGTTATCCACGGTACTCGATTGGTTTCTTGAGGGTTTATAGGGGAAGTGATATGTGGACGAAATTGATGAAATACATGTTCGATTTCCGCAGCTGAGCTCACAGATTTCCTCACTAATGATGAGAGTCTATAGACGAACTCGGGCAGGAGTGTAGAGAAGCCAACGAAAATTCCCCGAAATTCTCTGAGAATTGTCATATTGTTATCAACACATGTGAATATCATTCAACATTGGTAGCGATGCTTTATAATAAGTAGTTGATGTGGACCTTAGACTGTGTGTGTAGGTGAGGGAGCGATATTTACCAAATTTATGGTCTACTCGCGTGTCAAGGATGGTGGTTTTTTTCGTTCTAGTATATGGTACAAATCTTACGCAATGATTACAGCATGCAGCGACTACTCTATGAAGTCTAGGAGTGGTACATAGAGGACTGTACACTAGAGTTTCACCTGTTTGACGTGAAGTGGCGTTAAACTCGGTTCGTCGTGAAATAGGTCTTCCACCAGTGTTTTTCACATCACGGGTGAGACTCTACTGTATTCTGTCGATGATGACAACTTTTGAGGAGTAGGAAAATCTTCGCTGTGCGCAATTAGGGATATAGATATCCTTTTTATATTTTCATATCGATTCCCGCGTTGTGCAGGTGTCACCATCTGGGCGATATTCGTCGTTGAAAAGAACGATACAGTATGTGATCGTCCGTTAAGAACGTGAGTGGTGATGTGTGTGACAGCGGAGCGAAGCGTTTTTTGTTTGTAGGTTTTTATTCGTCTATTTCTTTGGTGTTGTTTATGCCATTTTGAAACCTATCATAACACGGGTATTGCTGTGCTATAATCCATCTAACGATCCGGAAAGGCCCCTCAGGGTGAAAATACACGACACGCTCTTCACTGGTAGTAGAGCCGCCGGGAAATGCGTGGTGAATTTCGTGGCGCGCGGTAATTATGAAGTGTATGTTTTTCAGCGTTTTGTTTCGTCTGGCCGATCGTTGGAGCTGTATGGCTGGGGTCCTCTAACACTTGCAGTGACACAGCCCCGACACTGTTCGCTGTGTCGACAGTGGTGAGTATTCGGGAGGTCCCTGGTTCGATCCCTAGTGCGGACATCTCGACTCGTTGAATAAAGGGCGTATCTTTCTCCATAAGCTCTTGCCTCCCGGGGGGTGTCTAAGTAGAGAGTTATTTTTTACTCTCATCTTTGCTGAGAGGTTCGCTCACGGTGTCCGAATGCTCTCTGCTTTCCTCGTCCGAATTCCACACCGCTACTACAATAGATTTATATATATGTTTATTTAATTGCCGTATCCTATTTATTTTTATTATTTATATTACACTTACCTATTATTATAATAATAATACATGATAATACATAGGAAATACATGTTAAATAGTATATTTTATGTATAGTTGTCGTTTTTGTCTGCATCAGATCGTGGTCGTACTAATAGTAGCATGGGTGATGACTCTACTGGGCCCCCCTCTTCTACTTGGTATACTCATGTTGATCATTAGACGGGGGCATATCAGAGTGGCAAAAGTACGGCAACGGAAGGTCGATAAGGTAGTTCGAGGAGGGCAGCCTCCCTTTGTCGTAGTGATGGTTATGTTAGAAATTATCAGTTGGAAGATATGCACATAGTCAAGGACATGTGTTGGCGATATTATGAAAATTATGAGGAATTCTTATTGGTTGCTATATACTGCTATCCGTATTCGCATGTGAACTTTTATAATTAGTGAGGAGACTGCTGAGCTCAGCTGAGGAAAGCGATAATATATTTCAACACTGGAAATCATATGCTGTGCGAAACCCGCACAAGGTTGGGAGAGACTTCGCTCGCTGATGAGGAAGTTATCCATTTTTGTTAGAGTTATTCATTCAGGTGATATCTACATTACGTATTGTTCCAGCCGGGGAAGCCTCGAAAGTTGCAGGGGAGTGCAGTGTATGTTTAACTGAGTAGTTTGGTGGGTAGATTGTGTGGTATAGTGGTATCCGGCGTTGCCTAATATCGCACGGCCGTGGGTTCAATCCTCGGATGCCACATTTCTTAGATTCAGTGAAGCTTCATCGACAACAGGCGAGGATGTCATACGTGAGACTCCTTGCCAGCATTATTTCCACCAGGCGTGTCTCGTGAACTGGGCCAAGGTAGTCCACACTGGGGTCGCCCTTCCTCGAGTCGTTGTGGTATCGGTATCATCTGATACTGAGGCATTCATTTCTATTAGGAGCATTCGTTAGTGAATGCTTCTCGTGTAGAGTTCATTGGGCTTTCCAGGTGGGGAAGATGTCATGTCCGTTGTGTCGATCACCGTTGGATCCAGAAGACCCCGAGGAGGAAGAGGAAGATGAAGGGTCGGCGGAGGGTCATGATGATGATGAGGCTGCAGCAGCGACCGACTCTCGAACGATGGGAATATCTTTTTGATTTTCATCTCCTTGTTGTTGTTGCTGCCGTGTTTGGTTTCTTTTGTAGTCGTCGTTCCCATACTGTAACTTTCTGAGCGGAGCGAAGAGTTTCTTGTTGATGGGTTGGTCAAATTTGGTATTCCCTCTCAAGCCTCGATTGGAGATAACATCGTGAATCATCGTGAGTTTACACTAAGACGCATCATTCTTTTCCCTCGCTACTATGTGATTACTTCATTTTCGGAACGCATCGGGTGAGCGGAGTGAAACGCTTCTCGTCATCATCGTTCTTATCATCATTATAACTGCTATTATTCCTACTATTGGGGCCGTTGAGTTTGAGTTGCCAAATTCGTAGGCTTCTCGCGAATCGGTCAAACACAGCGTTTTTTCTACGTTGTGTGGTGACACGCATCATCTAGTCGATCGATAATTTTGATATTTCTAAGTGAAATATCAAAAATGTTCAATAAAAACAGGAAAAGATGGGATAATAGAAATTTCGAATACCCTCTTAGGACATGTCAATGCCTAGGCCCGTGTGAATGGACTGTGTGACTCTTTCCTTGTAAGCTGCGAATCGTCTGTCTTGAGGAGAATTGTAACTGCCGCCCTCAAGAAGCGAACGATTTGTTGCTCGCTAACGTATATTGACTCAGTCAATGTATAGGGCATTCCATCGTTAGTAACGCTATAAAAATGCAGGCTTCCAACATTATTGCTAGCTCGTTGGTAACGATTCGTTATGAACTGACCGTTTTGCCATACAGTAGCTGTTGTAAGAACGAAGCAGTTACTCGAATCATGTTGTACTTGGTGATAGTAGATACGGGCTTTTGGTTGACTTGGTGGTCGACATGCGCTCCAATTCCGCTCCTTCTATGATGATCAGCCACAAGGACCTTGCACGAGATATAACAGGGGGAGGGGATGTGTCCTCACCAACGGTGGGTTGCGCTCGAGAACCTCGTGTGCTTGCGGTTGTCGTGTCTGAAGCATCCTGTATTGAAAATGCAAGTGTTATAGAGTAACCGTAAGATGGAAGAATGTTCTGAAATAAATTGTTTATTTGACTAGCAGATATTCAACTGCGTACAACAGTTAACACTTGAAGAACTGCAAAGTGATAGAGCACACTGAAGTGATGCCAAGCGTCGGGATATCCTAACTAGCTTGCATGCTATGAATGCGGCTTCCAATCCCTCTGTTGAGATTAGACAACCCAACAAGAGTTGTTAAAAAGTGGTTTTTAACTTATGATGAATACAGTGATCATGTTGAGGGTCTCTGCTCCTACCTTATCTCCCACTGAGGGACCGTCACACTGGAAGACTTGTACGAGAAACTCAGTTTTCGTATTGCTGTTTAGCCACCACTGTCCGCACCAGCACACACTGTATCGGTCTGTCAA